GGATGCTTTGAGATTTGTGAATGCCACGTGTCATCCATCAGGATGAGTCTCGCGTGAGATCTGGTCTCATAGAATTCTTTTCCGTATTGGACGGCATAGATATATCATGGGATTCCATAAAAGGAATTGGATATATATAATCGTTGAAGGATCTGAAGAATGGACCAAGATCCCCAATGCATAAAAGTTGCAATCAAGATGTAGTCTAATGAGAAATTTTGGTTCCAAAAAAGACCAGTGCTCAATGATCATGCAATCATGGCTGCAGGAGCAGGTATTGGACGACATAGATATATCATGGGATTCTATAGATGGAATTGGGTATATAATTGTTGAAGGATCTGAAGAATGGACAAAGATACCCAATGTATAAAAATTGCAATCATGGCGATAGAAGGGATTTCTATGGTTTTCGCCGAGTCCCAAGTGGTGTCCTCATGATTGGCAGGTTGCAAAATGTTTCTGGCTTCTAGACTACCACTAGCAGCAGAATTTGCTGGACCACAAGATGGAAACACAGGGCCAGAATGGAAGGTCAAGATGTTAACAACAGAGCAAATAGCAGCACATGTACTGAATAATTAGTCCCTGGGTTAGGAGAGTACTGAATAATTGAAGGGCCAGGTACTGCACCACTACTTGATGCCAGTTAGAAAGAGCATCAAGTGCTGGAGCTTCTGAGACACTTGGTTCAAGCATGCCTAGTGTCAAAAAGTGCTGGACAAGCAACAGTCAATAATACACAATGATTACACCAACTTGAAAGTGTGATTATTGTCCGTCGAGTTGCCGTATCGTGCATGGAACAGCGTATGGGACCATATTGCTAAACCACGAGCACACACGGAACAAAAAATGGTGTACCGATTTAAGGATTTACAGAAGAGATGGTTTTGTCAGCATTGTTGCTTCCAGGCATGGAGTGACACCATACTGGATTACTATCAATTTTGATGCAGGCGATTCGCACCGCCCTGGCCCGGGTCCTGCCTGGGCCTCGTCCTCTTCATCTTTGCTTTGAACCTCAGTTTCAGGGCCAGAGTCTCCACCGTGTTGACGAAGTTACCAACCGCCATCACCACCAGCAAGATCCCACACACTATGACCTGGAAAGGTGGGCGACGACAAGATCACAAGAGTCACTTCAGGGGGACCGAATAATAGGCCAGGCAACAACACATTTGGCAGATAACTAGTGCGTAGCCTAATCCTCATGGTCATGGAAACTCCGTATTGCAACTGTGAATGCCACTGACTTAATACTTGCCTGCCATTCAGAGGTGAGCCCGTGCCACGCGGTCTGAAGAAGCAACACTCCAACATATGCTTCAAACCCCTGTAAACATGAGTGACCAAGATGAGATCCAATGGTGCAGACCTAGAAAGAATATAATGGCCTACTAGCCATCTTGTTGCTTCTATTCTCACTTCGACTGAACAGTAAGGTGAAGACACACGTAACTGAAGTATCAAGAACCAAACAACATGACCACCAAGAATTGGTCATCTACCGACCACTAATTAGTTTCCCCAAGGCCCTGCTTAGTTGCCATAGTATGGGAAAACTAAGAGCTAACGTGTTTTATGGGCTCGCCTGACACCTACCTGTAATACAAAGAGAACAGGATATAGTAGCAATAGCTGCCCTTCCACACCAGCTGTTTCTCCAGCGACGACATCCATTCTTTTAGCCTGCAAGTAGTCAATGACAACAGAGTAAATCAAAATGAGACAAAGAAAATACTACTCTTACTGGTACGAAAAAGTCACAGTGGGTAACGTATAATTATGAGAACATCTATTTAACAGTCCATCAAGTTTACAAAAAAGTGTTTGCACATAAGATTTATTTTAGGGAAGGTCACAACTCTTATATTTATTTATTTGTGCAAATGCTGTCTCCAACTCCTAGCTAAACAACAAGCGATCTGAATTGCTTTTCACAAGCACCAACTATAGATCCCCATGAATATACTTTGATTATATGCAGGATCATCTACAGTTGATACTGATCAGAATCTTATTTAATAATATTAATTACCTTTTTAATACTCAAGTTGCAAAGTTCTAATATTAAATGAGCAAAGGGCACATATCAATCTATTTGTTAAATCAAAGAAAGGCCTCACCTTTCCCAGAGCAATTCGGGTGCGTAATCTTTGACGCTGGTACCTATTCTGGAGATGCATTGCAATTCCTTGCATGATTGCCCAACGCAAGAAAAGCTGTACCCCTCTCTGCAAAAGGCCAGATTATGAGTTTATAGTCTTTAAAACTTGGGACTAATGACAAAGCAACACACCCACTTCTACAAAAAGATCAAATACCTGCTTACTCGAGCAATCAGGCTGTCCCTTTATCTCCCATGTAAGGCTAACAAGAGCCATTAGCATTGCTAAATAGTGGTGGTATATCCACCTGAAAATATAGTAGCACATTATGATTAGATGGTCATAATTTGGAGAAGAAGTTGATTTTGCAAGATTTAGAGAACAAACTAAACACGGCCTTGCTGCAACAAAACAAACAGATGTGTCGATGCCATATTTGAGTGCCCAATAAAGACATTTAGTAAAAAAATGAGCAACACATTCTCCAGCAAAGAAATTTTGGTCCTTACCAAGGACGGATATCGCTTCCATTTACAAGCAACACATTCTCCCTCAAAGCAAAACTTGTGTAGAGGAATAATAACCAAGCCTGCAAATAATGTTTTGATCAATTATGTCAGACAATGAAGTTATGAGCAGAGGAAATATAGTCAGGGCATGTGAAAGTACTCAACAAATACCTGGTACACCTGAACTGCCAATGCTGGAAGGCACCCATCCCACACCCACCATCTCAGTAAGAGGAGAGTGGATGGAAACAACAGGAACATATAGGCAGCCCTATCCTGCCAATAGAAAAGGTTAAACCATCTAGATCGTCAGGCATGGTTTAAAATTTTTGGAAGATAAAAAATGTTAGCAAGCTTACAATATTTCACTAACAAAATACAATTTGAACTGAACATAGATAGTAAACTTACAGAACCTTGAAACATAATTACCAGCATACAGTACAACATTATGTTTGTCTGTATTAACTAAGCCAACTTTATCAAATGCAAAACAGGCAGGAGATTTTCAATTTGCATGACTGTGAGCTTGAACATACAGACGTATAATCTTGATAGTTCAAATTTAGCTTACATACTTGTCAGCGGTGTCAGGGGAACAGTGACATAGGCCATATCGTTTCTATAAATGCCAAACATAAGCCAAAATTTATGCAGCACAAATAGGAACAACCATTAGAAGTTTATGTTTCGCCATGAAAATCATTAAAAGTTCAGAATGCATTACTAGAGGTCGTGAAGAATATAAACAGATAAATTTAATTTATTCACTTCATGATGCCATACCAGAAAAAGTACGCACACAATATCGAAAGGAAAAACATCTGAAGATTATTACCCTATAATTGTTGTACTCGTCCTTCACTTTGAGCTTTTCCTCCTTCCTTGCCACCCGCACATTCACAGGGCCAACAAACTTCTTGAGGAACTTTCCTAAAGGTCCAGACATAGTGGGCTTCAACCACAACTCATAAAGAAACAACTAAATTTCAGCCCAGACAAAATGGGGGTCGGGGAGGAAACAAATTGCAACTGACCGTTTCCCTTGCTTGGGAGAAACGCAGCCACGTCGCCGTCTAAGATTGCTGCCCTGGCACGCTCCAGTTCCTCCTCGACCTGCACATATGGCAACAGAATACAAACAAGAACATGAGATAAAAAGTATATATACTACTAAGATAAGCAGTAGTAACATAACGAGAACTGGAGATGGTGATTCTTATTTAAGCAACTGAAACAATACAAATGACAACATAAAAAAATGGTATATATACAATCATTTTGTACATGCCGAAACAATACATGGAAGTACTCGCAAAACAATAAGCACATGGGAGCACTTTGGAAGATGCGTGTGGCTAGCCATAATGAGTAATAATCTCTATCTTCAGATGAACAATTCTGGGCTTAACAATCTTGGCTTCAGATGAGTAATCTCTAGCATATGGAGTAATAATCTCTAGCTTCGTGCTGCAAGGTTGGTGTTAGCCCAACTATATAATATACTGTGTCAGCTCGACAACTGGTGAAGAGGAAATCCTAGTGCTCAGGCGAGATGAAGCAGCGATTGAATCGGCAAACACACCGGGTCGAGACAAAAATCATTGGCCAGCATCCAGCAATTCGATGCGCGCGCCACAAATCCGTGCGCTCCTGGGCCAATAAGAGGCGCCACACCTTCGTACAGCAACGAATTCGGCCGGGATCACGGAGCAGATTCCGATGCAGCACACGCGGAGCCAGCATCTCTAGGCACGCGCGCGGGCGCGAGGCAGCAGCAACGCGGAGAAGGGACGCCCTGAGGACGCACGGCGCTGCCTCGAGAGCTGGCCGGAGCGAGGGCCGCGGCGCGAGGGCGGCGACGGGGATCGAATTTCGAATCAGGCAGAGAGAGGGAGAGAGACAGAGGAGGGGGGCGGGCGAAGGGG